CAGCGCGGTGGAGTAGGTGCCGTGGCAAACACCGGTAATAAGTCAATGCCCTGGGTTAAGGGAAGTAAGCACAGGTGTGAGTTAAGCAGGGACCAAAATAATACAAAAAGAAGTGAAAAATAAACAAAAAGCAAAAAGAAAGTGTACTGCTGTGCCTCATGACCTCCAGGACAGCACACCAGTGACCAGACTGGATTTACACTATTTCCCCCATTTAATGGGGTCCAGTCTGGTAGAGCAGGGTGTGTAAGGCCAAAAAATAAAATAAAAACTTGAGGAAAAAGGAACAGCCTGCCCAGGTGGTACTGCACAGCGGATCAGGCGAAAAAAGAAAGAGAAAAGAAAAAGGACACCTTACGCGGGTGCAATCCCCTTTCGGGACTGTCAGTGTAAAACTCCCCCTTCCGGGGTGTCCCTGCTCATCCCCTCGGGGGGTGTCCAGTGTGCCTTTATAGGACCTGCCCAGCTGGGGCTCATCCTCTAGAAGCAAGGACAGCTGGGACTACAAAGGCGAAGCATCGTCCTTCTACCTGGGCTCCGCCCCCACAATGGGCACGCCCCCGCATAGTGCCACAAGGATAATTTGAAAATGTGGAAAAAGATAATTAGGGCACATTCATATAAAAACTCCACACCGATCCATTTAAGAACATTTTGAGTTCCAAAGTCTCATGCAGTAATTTTGAGATATCACCTATCTCTGAATAATTCAGTGTTGCATACCTAATGTACTCAGGCAGAAAAAAAATGGTGGGGGTCAGCAGCCATTTTTCCCCCTAGGAGCAGAGATACTGTACTTGCTCCCTGTCCTGTCCAGTTTGCTCCATTACAGAACTCCTCAAGTGTTTGAAAATTGATAATTACCAGGATCAACATAGCTTGCTGCATCAAGGAACTGCAATGGACTTTGGCGATTAGAGAGATCAAAGGTATATATTTGAGTTAATTACTAATTCATCACACAATTATAGAGCTGGCTGTTCCAGACACTTGCAGTAGCACAGATTGGAAATCTGAAATCTGAGTAACAGGATCCTAGACTACAGGGGGTTTAAGAATCCAACAGGTTTAAAACGTCTGTATAAATCACCAACACCTTTCAGATGTATCAGAAAGTTATTCACATTTTGAGTCACAGGCTCTTTTGCAAAGAACATCAGTGAGATGATAATGCACAGGAAGGAATACTACATGTATCTGTGAGTACTCAATGGACTGACCAACCTTAAATGAAGTGCAGTTGTGCTGGAGGGTGGAGGTCCTGAATGATTGATTGACTGGTATGAAAATACAGATTCACTGTGATCTCAGGGCACTGCATTTGACTGGTTAGGCTCTGCTTGGCCTAACCTCTAGTCAACTCATTGGGCTTTTTTATAAAACAAGTTCAAATAGTGGAGAAACTTTAATATTTGTGTGTCACTTGAACGAAGCAACAAGCAATATGAAATGAAGCAAAGTTCATTATGATGTGCAATAGGAAGATGTACTGTACCTACATCTTCCTACTGCACATCATAATGGACCTCGCTTCATTTCTTCAGAACTACTGTATGCAAGCCTGACCCTGTCAAAATATCCATGTCATGTTTTGAATTTTACTATTGCATTTTGTTGTTCTGCTAAATTACTGATTTTAGGAGGTAATCTGTCTTTTAGCTCAAAACACCACATCCTGTAGAGGAGCCACCTCAGCACATACAGAGGATCTGGTTCACGAGTTAATTGCGGTCATACTCCATTTGACTTCTGATGCAAAGACAAAGAGTGCACCGCTCTCACGGCTGTATTAAAGCACAGTTTGAAACCAGCTACCCTTGTAGCTCAACAGCTGAAACAAAGCCTTTTCTACTGAACAGCGATTGACCATACTGTTTATATTGTTATACTGCTTACACTGAAATACATGATGTCTGTGAGCATTTAATTTGATAAATTATTATAGGTAATTGCTTCCTTTTTGACAAATTGGGCAATTTTGCAGAAAACAGAAGTTGGCAATACAAATACAGAAAATGCAAAACAACACACATTACTTGTATGTAGCAATTCACGCCGGGATCTGCCAGACCTTTTTATATTCTAGCAACAAAGAATTATATTTTTTAACATTTTAACTGCTAGAACAATAATCAATGCAATGTCTTTAGTCTATCACAATTTTAGATGGATTTCTGAAAATACAGTACAAATATTGTACATTTGTAAATCTCAGTAAAGAGTTTGCAAGACTTCTTTTAAAGGCCATTACACAATCCAAGAGGACAAATACAGTATGTAATCTCAAATTCATAAGTCAGCAGCATGAATCAGTGCTGAATAGTTTTGCTGTTTTTCACTGAAGAGGTTTTTTTAATGTTTCTGTTTACTCAAAGAGACAGGAGCAGATCATTAATCTTGTATTCCAAGTAATATGCATTGCAGATTAATGATGTGATACAGCTTAAACTGACAGAATTGCAACTTGGCAGTGATCTGGAGAAAGGTACAAAAACCAAAGAGAAGCTCAAAACAGATCTGAAATCTTTATGATTAGCATCCAGAAGTAAACCTGCTTTATTGCAACTGCTTTATAAATAAACCTCCTTTTTACAAATTCTTCTCATTGCTTCCAACTTGAGTCAGGAGTACATTGCATTTCACAAACATTTTGGCTTAGACGCTCAACAAGGCTTCAGGAATCCAGGTCATGCACACCCATCCAAAAGTCTTGAGTTCTGAGTGCAAACCCCTAAACTCAACAAAGGCTTGTAAATGAACAGAAAACCAAGATTCTGAACAACCCACCAGTGTTTGGGAGGAGGATCAGTCTATAGTGTCAGCCCAGTGGGATGCAAAATGACAGGACTGGAAGATACAGAACAACAGATCAGCATGGAATTGCAAAGTGGTCATTTAACACTAGCATGAATGAAGGATGGACGGTTTGAGGAGCCTGAAAAAGCTCATTAAACTGCAGTGCATCGCGGCTGCCAAGATGCAAATGCAGAAGAGCTCATGCTGGGGACCCCGACCCTGATGAGAAATGAAATGGGACGAAGAGCTCGGGGAGACAAGCAGGCAAGGAACATCAGTCACGACAGCAGCAACTCGTACTCCGCTCATCAGAGCGAGAATGAAATATTTACACAATCGGCGCAGAAAATAAACATTATTAAACAGTTAGTTAAATAACCAATTAGTTACTGGAACATCCAGGCAGCTGGGAATCACAGGAGTGCACTTTGCAAATGGTTCTTGGAAGTGAAGCATTTGCACAGCCATTACACATCATGCATTGGAAGTTGTTTGTTAAATTAGTCTGGCATAGCAAATACCAATGGACTCTTTATTTAGTTAATGATGGCCCCAACAGTGTTTCTTGACTCTGTTTCTCTATTTGCGAATTGTGAAACCTGGGCTTCTTTCCACTGTTTCTCTATGCATCCTGCCACCAATGCATTATTAATATGAGAAGGCCTAGAGAACACTGCATTCTTATCGGCAGTAATCAGAATTTGGAATTAATCACCATGAAGACTGAATTTAAATCAGGATTGTTCTGATGGGAACGGAGGGTGTTATTGTCTCAGGGTCCAATCAAATCTTAGACGGAAACCTGGATGTCAAAACAAAGAGCTGTTGTCCAGCTTGTGTTTACTAATGCATCTTAGCCTTTTTCAATGAAGTAGTAATGCAAATCAGAACAAAGTGTAGGGCCTGAATGATTGAGGCCATTCTCACAGGAGAGTACTCGTGATAAAGATGGGTGTCAGAGAGGAGTAAAGCAAAACAAATTGCCCTAGTGAAGCATCTCCAGCAAGCTGCACTCATTTTGCAAAGCTGATTTAATTCTGTGTTCTGGAAAGAAGGTTTTAAGAATTCTGATTACCTCAGAGCATTCCAAAATTAAAAATCTGTCTTCCCCTTTCTTCTGGGAGCTACAGAATCAGAACAAGTAAGCATCTACGAATTACTGCATCTACTAATTTCTGCCTAGCATAAGCCAATAAAACAATTTGTTATTTAACTACACTACAGTATATGGTTTGAAGAGAAGCGCATTTCACTTAATCTGTACAATAAGCTGCAATTAAAAAACCAACTAATCAGAACTAAGCATGATCTTTTACTGATGTTCCAGAAATGTGGAATCATTTCAGAGTATTTCACCACTACCTCCACTGAAAAGGGGGCATTTAAAACAATGTCATCTCATTGGGGAATTAAAATAATGCATTGTGGGTAATGTACCATGCATTATAAACCCAGTTATTCAGTGACTTCATAGTTTGCGCAGTGTTCTAAGGCAAACAACACAAGTTTACTGGGCTCCATGATGCTCCAGGACTTTACCAAACCTCTTAACTCCACAACCATTTCTCATTGAGATCATCTTTTGACAGTATAATAAACCAGCCGTGGACATTAAATAACATGAAATACTGCAGGTCAACATGGTTGCTCAGCATCCCAGCAGTACAGGTAGACATGTATAGCAAAAACAGTAGATGCACGACAGTGCTTACAGTAAGTTACTTAAATATTGTAGTGTTTCACCCCCCCCCAACTCCACCCTGAAATTATGGATTATGCCATTGCCCCATGACCTTGAGTGTAGAAGCTTCTCCTCCACCACTGTACCCTATAAAATGGGGGCTCCCCTTAATACTCGCTCTCTTTGCACCGCATGGCTAGTTGTGAGAAACTGTGCTCCTCCCTTCTCTCTACATGCATTCTCTCTCTGTCCCCTTATCTCCTCCTGGTGAACAGCACACCTCTGTAACTAAAAGGGCAATAAACCCTCTGCCTTTGTGAAGCTGCAAACCTGCCTCCTGCCTGTTCTCTATTGCCTTCCTCTCTGCCAAACTGGGTTTGGGCTGATTCGCCACTATGCAGTAGACATTTCCAAGCTACTTGAGAGCGTGCCATTAGATGCACAGAAACACCTGTTACAAGAGCCGAGGTCTATTGTACTATTTCACGCTGGTACAAATTCAGTCTTGCTTTCTATTGTTCAGGCAGTGACACTGGTAGGCCAGGGAAGTGATACCTGATGCAACAGCAAGAGACTGAACTCCCTTCATTGCCGTCCTGTGTGGGGGGCTTTTTTCCATACTGCAGGTAGGAGTTATTGCTTTCAGAACGCCGGTTCAGATTTCTAGCAAAAGGCCAACTGCGGCAGATGCACTGAAAAAGGGGGAAGCTTTCAAATAGGCAGATGGGAGAATGGAAATGAAATGGAAGAAATGCTCGCACAAATGTCAGCATGTGGGCAGTTTCTTGTTCGGATAAAAAGAAAAACAACAAAGCATGGAAAGAATGAAGACTGAATCACCGACAAGAGCCTGTTAGGCAAAATCTCATGTCTCTCCCTCTGTGGTACATCACAGCTTGGCTGTGACAACAGAAAGCTCCTTAAGTTTCAGCTGAATGCCTTCTTACACAGAGGCAAAAGAAACTGAAGGGCACATAGGGTTTGTTCTCTAGCCTGTTGTTTTCAGTCAGGTATCCAGAGACCCCTGGAGGTCCTCAGAGAAATTACAAGGAGCCCCGGTAACTTTGGAATTGGACTTGATTTGAGAACACATACTGTATGGTGGACACATTGACAGACTTTTAACATTTTACAATTAATAATAGAATTATTCCTTATTAGATATACCATTAGATTGTGTTTAAGCTGGGGTCTTTGTTGGAAGTGATTAGTTGGGTCCTGGAGCTAAAAGCAGCTAAATCCTGTGCTCTGAATATATGGGGAACACAAAATGTACCCTGAACAACAGCAGTCTTAGACCATTCATGTAACTTTAAGCACCACTGGCTTTGCCCTCAGCTATGTTTTCAGTCAAATTTAATTAAAACTTAAATGTTCAAATTTTTGGAGAAAAAATGAATGACTTATGTGGTGCAACTGGGAATACAAACACATGAGCTGATTAACATCTGGGCTGGAGTGTGACCCAATTTGCAATCACAGTCCCTTCACCAGCAAACTGAGCCACTTACTGTCTGTCCTTCAGAAAGTGGTGTGTGGGCACAAGGCTCACTGGACCTACTGTATCCCCAGGTGAATAATACTATAGTCCCTAGAAAATGGTTGTGTGTGAACAAGGTTTAGCTGGAATTACAAACATTAAAGTTTAACTTCACTCTGCAGTTGTGGTGCAATTTCATTAGCAACCCAGTATCTTAAATGATACCAATGTTTTTTCATATAAAGGATACTTACTGTATACAGTATCTCTCAACAGGAGTATCTCCAAAGGTTCTGCTTAGTGTGGTTTCTGTGACCCCTCTTTGCAAGAAGCTTTAAATCTGCTGTCACCTGTCACAGAAAACACAGAAATCAAACAGCTAAGGAGGACTAACATTAAAATGTCACTTGACAA